GAAAGGAAGGAAGGGAGGGGGGGGGGGGGAGAGAAAGAAGCAAGGAAGGAAGGAAGGAAGGGGGAAGGAGGGCGCTTGTTTCCGGGACCAAGCCGACCGACCTGTGTGCCGAGCTCAACTGAGCCTTTGAGGAGCACCAGCACCGTCATGGTCATCACCAACTGTGTCCAGAGGCCCCAGTTCCCGGCCCATCGCTAGCGTCTGAGGAAGGAACTCGACAGCAGAAGGGGCAGGGTTTGCGGCTGGGCGGGGGTCCTCATCATTTTTGCCATCGCTCCTGCGCCTCGGCCTGAGGACCTTTGGCAAGCTCACCTCCCATCCTCCCTCCAGCTGCTCCCCGCCACCGCCACCGCCAGAGTTTATCTCAGGTTTCCCCTGGCCCTGGTGGGCCCAGAGCCCATAATTAACCTAATAAGGTGTCTGCTGTTGGCTACCCCGTAATTTGCCCGATCCCTAGGATAAGGCCTTTGCCTGGACTGGTTCCCACCACTCAGCACCCCGCGCTCCCACGGGTGGGGCCCGTAATTGGCGTGGTTCTCCATGGCCCCTCCACGCACGCACCCCGTCTGGGTTCTGACAAGCCCACCTCTCGGGGTTTGCTCATGGCATCGAGGCCACAGCCCTGGCGTCAGGGGCTGCAGTCGCAGCCAGGCAGCCAAAGGCAGGCTGCGTGGACAGCCTTAGAGGGGAGGGGGGTGGCCAGGCCAGGGGACACAGCCCTGCATCCTGTCCGGTCTCTGTCCAGCACTGATGTCCGGGACATCTGTGGGCTACCGTCCCCACCCCAGGTTCTATTGGATCAAGAGTTCGGCTGGCTTCCGGCCACCCCTCCTCCCAGGACTCCGACCTCCGAGCCCCCTTTGTCCTGCGCCTCAGTCTCCTGGGTTGACTTTGGAGCAGAGCCCTAGGCTCTGGAGGACCAAGCCAAGAGGCCCAGGAGCAGGAGGAGAGTGCAGGTCGGATGCTCGGCTCCTTTGGCAGGGCGGCCACGGGTCCAGGCGGCAAGAAGCCCTGCTGGGACTCACTCGCCCAGGGCCCACGCAGCGTCCACTGGGCGCCGCCTTTGATCCGCTCTGCTGGGCGGGGCTGCAGCCTCTGCGGTTACCCTGGAGACGGCGAGAGAGTCCTGCGTGTCCTCGACAGAGCGTGGCCCTCTCTCTGCCTCCGCTGCTGGAGAGGACGGTGCTCCAGGAGGTCAAGGGCTGCGGAGAGGCGAGCAGGACCCCCCTGGGCCCGCGGGCCCGCGCCCCGCTCCTGGGGACGCTGATCCCTTTCGAAGCCAGAGGCCCCTGCGGTGGGGGGCTGTCTGCACCCCAGTTCTCCGCAGTCAGTCTGCCAAACCACCAGATAATCCGCCCCGGTTCCCAGAGCCATCCTGCCCACGCAGGTGCTCAGGCCAGCCCCGCGGGTTCCTTGACACCCACTCCGGTCCAGACCGGGGCCTGCCCCTCTGTCCCGGAGGAGGTCCAAGGGCGCGGAAACCTGTGCTCCCCTGTTTCCTCACTGGGTGCAGGGCAATGAAGGTGTGAGTCACAGCCCGCTCACCGTGGTGGTGGGTATGCTGTAGGGCAGAGGAGCGCCGCCACCAGGAGGGATGTCCAGAGGCCCGGGGAGGGGCCTGTGGCCCTGCACCCCTGCTCTGCCCTGTCTGCCAGGCCAGGGCCCGGGAGCAGCTGAGGCCCCGCACCACGGTGCCTCCCCTCCACGCTGGAGGACTCCTGGAAGCTCAGCTGTCCTCGGCGCCGCCAGTGGGGAGGGTGACTCAGGCCCAGGCTTCTCGGGGCTGCTGGGATTCCCCAGGCCGAGAGGAAGTGGTCCAGGGCTGAGCGAGGCTGGGTCTCCCCACCCGGTTCTCACCGCCTGCCTGGTGCCGGGTCCTACGCTCTCCTGCCGTCCCTGCCTCCGTCCCTCTGTCTAGTCTTCCGTCCAGGGGAAGGGACATTGCCACACACGTGTATCTGCAGGAATCCACAGAGCGAGGCAGCTTCAGGACAGATGACAGGAGACCCTGCCTTCACCTCCAAGCCTGCCTTTTTCTTGGGCAGGGACAAAAAACACACACGAGTTGAGCGTCCCTTATCCGAAATGCCTAGGACCAAAAGTATTTTTGGATTTTTTTTTTGGCTTGTTGAATATTTACATGTAGATAAAGAGATCTCTCTTTAAAGAGGTCTCTGGGAAGGGACTCAAATATAAAACCAAAATTTATATATATGTATATACCTTAAACACATAGGCTGAAGGTAATTTTATAAAATAACTATAACTTTGTGCTCAAACCTTTCATGATGTGGAATTTTCTACTTGCAGCATCCTGTCCCCAAATAATTTCTGATGCTTTTGAGTTTCCAGATTTGGGGTGCTCAACTTGGACTGACTATGTGGGTTGGGTGGTTGCTGTGATACGCAGAAAACAATGCTGAGCAGAGGGGGAGGGGATAGAGTCGCAGTTTAAACAGGTTTAACTGTCCCAAGAGCACTGGGCCGGCCCGGCCTGCCCGAGTGGGTGACTTCAACACAGGCCTGAAGAAGTGAGTTACCAGGCCCTGCGCAGGGGTTTCCAGGCAGAGAGAACTCAAACACTGGGCCCTGCCTGGTGGGCTGGGGACAGCAGGAGGCCGGGGTGGAGCGGAGTAGCTAGGGAGAGGGACAGTTTGCAGGGAGAATTGGCGGTGGGGAGAGGGACGTCCCACGGGGAAATGGGGGCCTGGGGTTCTAGCAGAGGGGTGGCAGCCCCTGCAGACCCCTCAGCTGTGTGGGAAGTGGGGTGGGGCAGACCAGACAGAGCAGGCACCCAGGAGACAAGGGATGGGATCTGGACCGAGGCGGGTGGCACAGGGCTGCCAGTGGAGGATGCCAGCGGCCCTGTGAGGCTGGCTGGCGGTGGCGGCTACACTGGGTGGCACAGAGGGCTGGCGAGTTGATTCCGCACCATGAGCTCCTTGGGCCCTGAGCACCTACTTGGAAGTCCGGGGAGGCTGCCAGGTGACTTTCTAAGGGAGGCACCGTCCTACGTCCCGGCAGAGTGGGCGTTGTGTCTCCTAGCTTGCAGAGCTATGCTCTTTGCACGAGGTCACTGCCCACTGGAAGTCCCTCGCCCCACCTGCTGCCCCGGGTGGCTGCGCATCCCGGCTGCCTCGAGTTGGGGGCTGGGGATGTGATGAGGCCTGAGTCTCCAAGGCAGTGTCCCAAGAGCACAGGCAGACACTCCACCCACTGTGACCTGGCTGCAGCAGTCGCACAGCGGCACTTGCCCCAGAGCGGCCGGCCTGCCCTGGCTGGAGAGGAGGGACCCTAGCCCCGGCCTCTCCCCGGGATGTCAGTGCCCTTGCAGGAAGAGCCTTTTGGGGGCAGAGCCCACTGCCATCAGCTCTGAAAACTGCAGCCACTCAGAGGAGAAGTGGCATCCAGGTGAGTGGCCCGTGTCCGCCCAGCGGGGAGCATGCACGTGTCCAGGACTGACCTTGCACCTGTTGGATGGATGCTAGGGGTCTCCTCGAGGCACCCACAGGAGGGTCCTGTGTGAGGCTGTCAGGGAGGGCACAGAAGGGCATGGGACCAGGGGGCCCGAGAGGCAGGCTCAACTCCAGCTTTGCTGCCCTGGGCCTTTTGACCCTAGGGGAAGATGTTTCCTGGGAGAGACCTGTCCCTGCTGCCTTGGAAAGGAGGAAGTTGGGAGGAGAGACCCTGCTGGAGACAGGGGGACAAAGCCAGGGCACTCGGGATGATGAGATGCTGCGGACATGGGGCTGGGCTGAGAATCAGGCCAAGGTGCGAAGTCCAGGGACAGAGGCCCAGAAAGGCAGCTCCGCTTGGGCGAGGAGTGGCGAGTCAGTGTGCAGAAGGCCCCGGCTGTCCACTGAGCCCAACTCTCCACCTGATGCCAGGCCCAGCAGCCACCTCCTGCCCGGCGGTCAGCAGGCAGTGGTCCCGCTGGCCAGGGGTCCAGGAGCTGTGTCCCCAGGTGGGCGGCTGTGACACGGCAGGGCCCAGGAGGCCTGGCTCCTCTCAGCCTGCCTGCCGGCTCCTCAGCTTGTCATCAAGCTCGTTGGTCTGGAATTCCCTTCATCCAGGCAAGCCCTCCCCAGTATGTGCAGACTGCTTGGGCAGCTGATGGCAGTAAATGGGCCTTAAGAAAACAAACGATGCTAAAATGTGGGAAAAATACTTTGAAAAATGTTTATATTGGAGGGGCAGGAGAGGATATTCTCGAATTGTTTTCTTTCTCGAGCAGCTTTGCTAGTATCATGTGCTCCGGCTGCTGTTGAGGGCCAGAGCCCTGGGGACCCGGCAGGAAAGGCAGATGAGAAGAAGGGCAGGCGGCACGAAGGCCTTGGGAAATGAGTTGCGTGTCCTTTGCTTTGCTGTCCCTCTGCCACTCTGAGGATGATTCAAGCTGACAGTCGCACTCCCACGGTGTTGAGAACAGATCTGTCGCCCTATTGCTCCAGTTCTTGTAGAATCTTTTTGACTTTGGACCAGTGTGGGGCAAGATCTTCTGATCAAGTCACCAGGTGAGGTATTCAAAGCCAAAGTCTCCAGAATTCTTGTCTCCAGAGGAGGAGTAAAATCACAAAGGAGATATGGTGCCTCTTAGGGGCTCCACCCTGCATTGCCCTTCCTTAGTGATGGGACCTTTGACGTTGAGCTTGGTACGCAGCTGTCTGGGCCACTTCTGGGACACATGGCCAGGTCCACCTAATTGGAGCCTGAGTCTGACATGATGCGGCCCCACGACAGACCTACTGCACTGAGTAACCTGCTGTCATGTAAGCCACTGTTGTGTTCAGTGCTCTTATCCATAGCCAAAGATAATTCTGATTCACCACTCGTGAGAGTTTCAGTCAATTACACTTCTCACGAAAACAGTCAGCCAACGAGTACAGGTGTTGTGGTTGAGCTGAGCACTGCAGCTGAGCTCAGGCGGTCCATTTCTGGGACGGCTCCGTCCATGGGAGGGAAGAGGAGTCCTCCCAGACAGAGCGTCAGTAGGAGTGCAGCGATGACTGAGATGCATGCCTGGGACAGACGGACGGACCAGACGAGACAATAGCACACTGAACAGCCCCTTTCTTCTCTTCCCTCTCCAGAGCCCTCGGAAATAGCTGAGTAAAATAATCCCAGGCACATCTGAAAAGAAGGGTGAGCCACAGGGGAGGTCAGTGGGCCCTGGCTTTCATGGACTTGCAGAAAATAACACAGATTCATAAACCAAAGCAGCGGTGACTGCAGCCCCGCGTGCACTCAGGGGAGACGGTGTGCGGCTGGGAGGAGGGGCTTGGGGAGAGAAGCTTCCCTTTCTGAGCAGCCTGGCAGGCTGCAAGCTCAAGGCCAAAGGAGAACAGGAGTGGGGCAAGGGATTCGCTCGGGGTGTGGATGGAAGGATTGCTCATGGAGAAGGGGAACAAGCTCTCAGTTCGCCTCCAATCCCAGCTCCTCCATGCGTGAGACACAGGCCAGCAGCATGGCGTTTGCATGGTGCAGAGCCGATGGGGTGCTCATGCTGTGTCCCCTAAAACTCATCTGTGGAAAGCTAACCCCAAAGTGTCGGTATCAGGGAAATAGAGACAGTGGGAGCTGCTTAGGTCTGGAGGGTGGAGTCTTCGCTAATGGGATTTGTGCCCCTACAAAGGAGACTTGGTGAGGTCTTGCCCCTGCTCCACTGCATGAGGATACAGCACACAGCTGTTTCCATGAACCAGGAGGAGAGAAACACGGAACCTGCCATTACCTCAGTCCTGGACTTCCGGGCCTGCAGAAATGTGAGGAATAAAGTTCTGTCATTTGTAAGCCATCTAGTCTGTGATATTCTATTCCAACAGCCTGAGCTGACTAAGGCATTCTAGGGCATGGAGGAGAGCTTGAGAGGGGGGTTAGTATCCTTTGTCAGGGTGAAGCCCTGGGAGCTTGGTGTTTTGCTGCAGCAGAAGAAGACTGGTCTAGTGGAGGCTGCCAGTTCCTGTGACTCAGCATCCCACACAGAACTCAAGCCAGGCCTGCCAGGTAAGCACCCCTGGGAACACAAAGAGGAGGAACCCTTGCCAGCTGCCAGTCTGCATCAGTTCTGTCTTTATGCCTGTGTGTAAGCAGGTAAGCAAGACAGAGGGACCAAGGTAAGCAGAACAGCAGCTGTTCCCAGAAGAACCTGATCAGAAAGAGTCTAAATTAACATCCCAGAGACGTATGAGGAGATATGGCATCCACATACCATGAGCAGGAATCTAGGAAAAACCTGGGATCAAGAAAAAGTTGACAGATTAAAAATATGATTGTCAGATCTTTTTAAAACTCAGGGAAAAAATTGGAAAAATCATCATAATTCTTCCCTGACTTTAGGTAAATTCAGGGCCGGGGATTTTGCAAGACAAAAAGATGGGAAGTATGAAAATAGTTAAGAGATGTGTGCAATCAATCCAGAGATCCAAAGTGTGTGTAACAGGGTTTTGAAAAAAATGAACAGAGAAAGAACAGTGCAGGGAGGTGCACTGGTTCCTACTGCTGACATAACGCAGCAGCGCAGGCTCAGTGTCTTCACACAGTGCAGATTTATTGTCTGCAGCTATGGAGCTCCAAAGCCCTAAGATGAAGGTGTTAACAGGACTACGTCCCTTTTGGAAGCTGCAGGAGGGGAGCTGCTTCCTTGCCTTTTCCAGCATCGAAGGGTCGTGTACATTCCTTGGCTCGTGACCTCTTTGTCCATCTTCAAAGTCAGCAGAGTAGCATTGTCAGATACCTCTGACCCCTGATTCTGTCGTCATGTCACCTCTCCTTCTGCTCCCACTGTTCTGACTTTGACCCTTTTTCTTTCTGCCTAGGAAGCCCCTTGTGACTACGTGAGCTCACCAGGATAAAACAAGAGACTCTCTCCGTGTCAAGATTTTTAATTTAATCACATCTTCAAAGTTCCCCTTTCCATATAACATAACATATTCACAGGCCTCAGAGATTAGCACACAGCATCTTTGGACGGTGATTATTTTGTTTACTACAGTGGGAAATAAAAGAAAGAGTTAGTGTCTTCCATAGCGAAAATGAGGGAAGAATGTTAAATAAAAATTCTCCTGAGTTTCATAATAGGATAATTGAAAAAAGACCCACACTTAAATACTTTGCCCTGCATTTTTAGGCAGATAAGAGGAAAGAAGAGACATGGGTCCTTGGCCAAGGAATGAGATCTGTAGTGTGGTGTGCTAAAGAAATCCTTCTCAAGGATCAAGGGGAAATTATATTGACTTGAAATGATACAGCCAGCTGAACTATTAGCTATATAAGGAAGCAATTTGTTTATGTATAAGAAACAATTTTGAAAGTTAACCTCCTATGAACTTATTCTAGAAAGTATAATTTGAGGGCCAGGGATTTAGCTCAGTGGTTCTGTGACCTGCCTTGCAAGTGCAAGGTCCCGAGTTCCATCCCCGGTACCAAAAAAAAAAAAGTATAATTTGAGATGCTCTTTGGCCACAAGAAAATGGAAATTTAAAAAAAATCATGACTTACCAAACAGTAGAACTAAATTAGTATTATAGTTAAAAGAAATTCTGTGCTGCGAGCATGGTGATTTAATAAGAAATCTATATTAAATTAATCACAATTATAATGTGAAGAACAATTATGATGAATGCCATAGATGCCAACAAAGTCTTTGAAAACATGCAGCACCCACTTGTACTTAAGATCTTGAGAAAAATGGATGAATATCTCTTACTATGATTAAGTATGTATACTTCAGTTCTAAACTTAGTGATTTATTTGATGGGGACAAAAATATCTTTGTCTACAGATGACAAGACACTATAACTGGAAAGCCCTATAAAACAGTTAGTTAAACTACCTCCAAGAATAAGAAAATTCTATGGGACAACAAACAGTTTGTAAAATTGGTGTGCTCCAATTAAGACTTTCTATGTTGCAGATGATTTATACATATGCAATTAATTAAACCATAAGTGGACTCCACTAGGTACACACAGGGAGGAGTGAAGAGATTCTTGAGAAAGCTTCCTGGTAGTGGAGGTAACTTCTCCCTTTTCCTCCCTCATCCCTACCATCCATGCCTGAAAAACCGTAAACCATCTGTCCTTATGAGACAGAGAAATAAAAGCTCTAGCAAAGCAGTCTCCATCCTAAATACCAGGTAACACTAGAATTTGAAGTTTGGTCCATCATGAGGGTACACATAGCAGCATAAAAACCTCAGATCCAGCCCAAATCCTTACTGGGTCAATGAAACACAAACATTAAAGACCTGGCAGAAGAAAAGTTGGCCTCATTTCCATGCATGAAAATTATTCACAGCCGTCACTACTGTTTAACATTTTTTTTAAACAAAAAAGTATGAACCTGATGAAAAAGCACAGGAGGTTGAAACTATATGACAGAAAATTTAAAATAATGATCATTATTATGCTAAAGGCTCTAAGGGAAAAGCTGGCACAATGCAAAACGAGATTGATACTTTCAGCAGAGATGGAAACTATATGAAACAATTGAATGGAAATACAGATATGAAAAACATAATTATAGGGCCGGGGATTTAGCCCAGTGGTTCTGTTTCCTGCCTCACAAGCACAAGGACCCGAGTTCGATCCCTGGTACCAAAAAAACCCCAAAAAACCACAATTAAAGAGATGAAAAATGCCATTAACAGGCTGAATGTAGACTAGACAGTATATTCTAAAGAAACAAAGTGAACTTGCAAATAAGTCCATAGAAACACAAAGAGAAAAAAAATCACAAAACACAGCAATATAAAACCCAGAGAAGCATACAAACAGGAACAACAAAAAAAGAACAGTGTATCCAAGAGTTATGGACAATGCTAAATGGTATGCCATATAATATTTGAATGCCAATAGGAAAAATAAGAGGAGGAAGAAATGTGTAAGAAATATTGGCAGAGAATATTTTAAAAATTAATGAAAAACACCAAAGCCTATATCCAAGAAGCATAGAGAACACAGAGATAGAGATAGAGAAACCACACTGATATATGTCATATTTAAATTTCTGAATACAAAAGACAAACAAAAGATCCTGAAGATAGCCAGAAAAAGAGAACATTATATGCAGAGAAACAAAGATAAGAATTACAGCATACTTTGCCTCAAAAACTGTGTAAGCCAGAGTACAATGAAATGACACCTTGAAAGTGTCACAACAGAATTTTATACCCAGCAAAAATATCTTTACAAAATGGAAACATATTTTCTCAGACAAATAAAGAGAATTTACTACTACCATGCTTATACTATACAAAATGTAAAATGAGTTTTTCAGGCAGAAAAAGGTATGATACCAGCAGAATTTCTGATACACACCCACCCACACACACACCCACACATGTGCTGGAAATGGAATAAATATAATCAATAAATACATTTTCATTAAAAAAAATTTGTTTTGGTACCAGAGATCAAACTCAGATCCTTGCACTTGCAAGGCAAGCAGTGGAACCAGAGCTAAATCCCCGGCCTAAAAAAATTTTAATTGTCTAAAGCAATAATACCATCAATTCGTTATATATTTATAACATTTGGAAAAGCAAACAAAATGTGTGCCCACCATAGCAGAAAGGGTGCAAGGGGATTATTGAAAATATACTGTTATGGACTGTGTGAGTCAGCTTCCCACCAAACCTGAGAAAATTAACTGATAAAGAGAAAAGTTGTATTTGGTTCACGGTTTTGGACATTCCAATCTGATCATCTGGCTCATGCTTTGGGGTTGGGGTGAGGTGGAGAGAGTGTATGGTAGAGAACAGCTTTCATCTCAGCAAGAGCCAGGGAGCACAGAGGGAAAGAGGAAAGGGGCCACAGTTCCACAGTCCCCGTCCAGCACACTTGTGTTAATTACTTTTCTCTCCTTGCTGAGACAAAAAAGCTGGCACCCAAAATTAGAGGGGAAGGGTTTTATTTGGCTTACAGTTCACAGAGGTCCAGTCCATAATCGGCTGGCTCCAAGGCAGGGATGACAAGCAGGCCTCACAGAGGAGAAACAACATGCTGCGCACAAGGTAGCAAAGGCAACCAGAGAGTTTAACAGCGTCTCTCTGCCTCCTCTTATCTTATTCAGACTACCGGGATTAGGGCGGTGCCAAACTAATCACTCATGTGTAGTGGTTTAGTAATCACATGCCCTTGACCCCAGCATCACACATTCCATATTCAACTACCTCTGAAAAAGAAAGTCCCACCTCATCCGCATGAGGCTTTGGGGGAACATCTAAACACAAACCCTAACAGCACTCTTCCAATGACCTGAAGACTCCCATGATGCCTAACAGAGCTACCACTTCCCAATAACACCACCCTTGGGACCAAGTCCCCAACACCTGTGGAGAACACTGAAGATCCGAGATCCTTATGTACACATGAAATGAAATATCATCATTGGAAGGCAGGCCGATGAATAAACTACCTATGTTATAAAACCTAGGAAAGCCACCGAAAATTTTAAAAGTTAAAATTATATCAATAATAGACATCAAATGGACTCATAAAATCTCCACTAACACAAGGATTGTGTAATAAGATAAAAAATATGAAAGTGCAGGTGGACAAAATTGAAAACAGATAATAAAGTAAAAGATTTTAATCCAAGCACATCAATTTAAATTGTAATGTATTAAACATATCAATTCAGGAGGTGATGAGGTCATGAGGTCTCTTCCATAATGAATATTAGGCCCCTTATGGGAAACCAAGGGAACTTGTTTGCTCCTTCTACCACATGAAGATGCTGCTACAACCCACCATCTATGAGGAAGAGCGTCCTCACCAGACACCAGCCCCAATTCGCCAGCACCTCATAGCTGCCAGAACTGTGAGCAATGCATTTCAGCATAAGTTACCCAGTCTGTGATAATGTGTTGTAGTCACCCAAAGGTACTAAGACAACAACATAATATGACAAAAAAGAAAGAAAGAAAGAAATGATGTTTAGTTTGTAAAGTAAGAATTTGTCCCTATGTTCAGATGACACATTTGTATATGTAGAAAATTCCAAAGAATCTCTGAAAAATACTTCTGAATTAATAAAAAAGTTCAGCTATGGTATGCAATATAAGTCACATATAGGCAAATCAATTCTATTTACTATTCTGTGTACTAGCAATGCACATTAGAATTTAGAAATTTTTAAATCACTATTTGAAAGAGAAAAGGTATATAGGTCTAAATCTACCTAAATATGTGCATAATTTGAACACTGAGAACTGTAAAGTATAGGTAAAATATTCAATGAAAACATCAGTAGATTGTTGTACAATTTATTGATAGGAAGACCCAACATCATTAAGCTTTCAATTCTTAACAAATTTATTTATAGGTTAAATGAAACCCCAATCAAATCCCAAGCTTTATTATAAATATTGATGGACTGATTTGGAAATTAAATGCAAATGTAAAGTTACCTGATTAGGCAGTATAACTTTGTAAAATAAAAGCAAAATTATCAAACTTACCTTACATGAATTTAAGACTTACTATGCCATGGCATAGCAATTAAGATAGATAGCACAGTATTGAAGTGAAGATAGAAAATATATCAAGTTTGGAGAATATATATAGACCCACACGTTTGTGGTCCATTGATATTTGACGAAGTTAAAAGGAGCAGTCAATGGAGAAGGGATGGTCCTTTCAACAAATGGTGTGGGAACAATTGACTATTTATATGCAAAAAAGTAAACTTCAGTCCATATATTGTACCTTACAGAAAAAAATTAATTCCAAATGGACCATAAACCTAAATGTAAAACCAAAGATTTCAAGTTTGCAGAAAAAATCCTCATAGTAAATCTTCATTACCTTGGGTTAGGCAAAGATTTTTAAGGCCTGACAGTAAAGTCATGATTCATAAAAGAGGAAATCTAGAAGATTAACTTCCAGCATATGTGCCTGAGGAGCCCAGCAACCCACTGCTCCGTGAAAGTGAAAATTATTTTAAAACCAATTCATCTAAGGTGAAAGTGATCCTAAGGGCAAGCCAAGACAGGACCATGTCGTCTCCAAACGTGAACTTTTGAGAGAGGAAGTCATCTTGTGTCTTCTGTCATCCACCCCCGGGAGACTCCAGTCCAGACTGTTGTGACCCAGCACAAGAGAGAACACCACGACACCTCAGCTCCCAAAGGAGGCTTTCTTCCACTAGGGGCAAGGGGTCAGGGTTTCTCATCCCACCTTGCCTTCCTGTTGCTCACTGTAAATCCCAGGCAACTGTGCAGCAGAAATGGGGGTGGTATCCCAGACTAGTGAGGGTCCCTGCTTTAGTGATAAGAGAAATTTAACAACAGCCTGAATTTATAGGCTAAAGCTTTAATTGGAAAGTGGTAGAGAAGATGGGGAAAGGACTGCAGTGAGTAGCTGGAGGGGCGGGCTCTGATGAAGAGGGTCAGACTGACCCACCCATAAAACAACAGAAA